TGAGCAGAATAAATATAAAAAATGTTTATACTTTGATCTACAAAAAATCTTGATAAACATCAATTGTAGATTACACTCCCTTTTCAGAGTGAAAGCAAACCTGCCTCATCACTTCTCAAACAGAACTTGATAAAGGGGCTACAAAACATGACACGGAGAAGCTTCAACACTAACCATACGATCGTAACTAAGCTTACACCCTCTTCCGAATCCTCATTCAAAAATTACTAAATCTCACTTCAAATAAGTAGAAGCTACCCATAGAAGTACATAGCTTAGAAGGGAAGTTGTCACCTCCAAGCTTCTCGGACCTTTTAGTATTGGCGGAACCACAGATACCATCAATAAGGTACCCAATAGCCACGAACCAAAGAAAGCCGCAATTCTGAAGAATACATGCATCAGCAAAGGAATTTAATCAAAGACACTGGTAAAGTTTAGTAACATTTCAAAAGCATCTATGATGTCAGTACTTTCGAGGAATATATTTAAGAAATACTCATTTGGTTTACAAGTAGTGTCGTGTATATCAAATATCAAGACGAACCCCTCAAGCTCACAATCTAAAAGTTGATTTTTAAAACAATGATAAAGAATTTTTGCATAGGGAACAAAACCACAACAGTGTTAAAAAGCACTAGACTAGTGAAATTCAGGCTGCTTCAGGATGTTTTGTGTACAGTCTGAATTTAGGTTGAGTTGGAGATAGGTAAAGGACCAACCCCAACCCAACCCAACCTCTAGCTGGGTTCTCTTTTTGTCAACTTAAGCACACTAAAATCCTAAACAGTTTAAACCCAACCCCACCTAACAAGGAGATTGGATTGGTTGGGCTCAGTTTGAACCCAAACAAGCCATAATGCTGTGTAACTACACTAAGGACAAAACTCTCACACTGGTGAACCAATCTTCTATGTTGATAAAAGAAATGTGCGTGGATGAAACCAAGCAGTTTGCGTTTTCAAAATTTTCGGTTTTGCATGTGTGGGTCGGTCCAACATAGTTTATTTTGGAGGTTCTCTGGAAAGAAATTTTCCTTGATGTATGATGGAAGGAAACAATACTCAGATGCATACATTTACGTCGTTAGTTTGTGTACATGAACACAAATGTTCAAGGCCGCTTATCAAAGAAATACAAATTGGAGACTGGTTGTAGCCAATATTTTGTTTTTCTTAATCCTACCTACGCTAAAAAGTAAAAGCTTATAATAAAAGAATTATAGCATACTCACCCATATAAGGATGCTCGGATTTTGTTCCTGAGTCTTGAATGTATGAAATATACTGAAGCTATAAGAGATATAGCAACTTGGAGGGTGGGCCCTTCTTCCGTTGGAAATAGAACAGTGAGTACTCCAAGAACTATGAACGCTATGGCGGTCTTTACAATGACATTTGTCGCTGGAGTTTCAAACCTGCTAGTCACAGCCCTGACAATGCGTGACTGACTAACTTCTCTTACTTTCTTCTTGACATCAATCTTTGGGTTTTTCCTATTATAGAAACTCTGCATTATTATTTTGTCGTGAGCTGATTCTATTGCATCAACACTTGGCTTGTGACCCCCGTATTTGTTAATCAGAAAGTTCCTTGCAGCTTGAATTTCTTCTTCAGATGCCTCTCTACTGATTCCAAGTCGTTTATAAGGGTCCTTTACGTCAATCCTTGGAAAGACACCTGAATCAACAAAGAAAGATTAAATATTATTGTCGTCATTTTTATATTGGTGTAAATGGCTTTAAAGAGAGTAAACGATGCAGATACAGATCAAATAATGGTGTTATCATATTTATATTTGTTTCTTCTAATGGATATAATACAAAACAGTCTCTGACTGGTGACCCAAGTATATATGTGTGTGTGTGTGTACACACACACACACGCACACGCGTGCGCGCACACACACACACATATACATATACATATACATATATATATCTCTATGTGTGTGTGTGTGTTTGGGTGGGTGGGGTAACAATAAGGTTAGATTTGGCTCTGATCTTGATACAAATTGGAGAGTGGAGGCTATGAATAAATCTGAAGTGTGGGAGTTAAAAAGATTCAACCTTCAACTTAATCTATATGCCTGTGAAGAAGTTCTTTCGTTTGCACAGGATATTGTCATTGTGGCTCTTACTAGGCTAGTCTGGCTGAGATAAACTGTAGCATCTTTAATTGAGCAGGATATTCGCAACACCAATACCAAGCATTCACGAGAAACTAAAAGAAAGAAAGAGGGCATCTACCTACCGGTCGAATCATCGGCAGCCATATCACCAAATGCAGCATACACACCGCTCTTTATCCTGACGGGCCTTCCAGCCGAACCTCTGCGAACCGTCACGGCCAAATATTTCCTGCAGTTTGTCGAACGACGAAAATCATCAAAAGAAGAACAAGTTAAAAAAAAAGGGTTTGGAGAAGCAAGTGCCATTATGCGTACTACCTATCTGCATGAGATAAAAAGATCGACTTGGGCTTAATGAACCCATTAGAAATCAAGGACGGAGACCGGGCGGAGAAATTAGAGCCCCTTGCTCGTGCCGCGTAGCAGGATATCTTTTGGGAATTAAATGTCAAACCGGATACAGACATCTTTCTCGGACTACACAAATGAGCACACCATCAAGTAGGGAAAAAAAAAACTCAGGTTTTAGCTTTTTACTGAATTTTTTTTTTCATTTTGCAAATTATATAATGGTGGCATCATCATAGCGGCTAAAGATACCTCCTTAGTGCCCGGAGGGTTAGGGAGAAGTTGACACCTATGCATTGATATGTACTGTTGAAGGGGGCTCTTAGGAAGAGGGGAAATCACTTGATATGATCGTTATCATTAAAAAAAAGATTTCCCTTGTTTTACTATTCATACTCCTAAACAGTAACTTTCGGGGTGTGTGAGGACTAAATTGCCCTTCTCCCAAATCAAAACAGGTCAAGTCCATTCTAGAAACACCCTCAACATCAAAAGGGTATTTTCGGTAATCCAACTCCCAAAATTACTGTTTGGGAGTGGATATAGCAAACATGTTTGCAGTTGTATATTCCCAATAGTTTTTGGCAGCATGTATATACCCTAATTTTTTTAAAATTTACACTTTAATACTCTCAGTTTTGCAAATATGGGAATTTACGTTGCAAAATTCTCATGTACACTCATATGCTAATTTTTGAACATTTCAATTCTTAATATTTGTTCCCTCTCAAAATTCTATTTAAAATAGAATTATAATAAGTCTAAAATAGGATTATGATAGTTTTAATGATACATTTAATAGAACTTAAGGATTAAAAGGTTGCCTGTGGGTGACACATGAGAATTTTTGACGGTAAAAGTGTAAATTTTAAAAATCTTAGGACGTACAAGTTGTTGCCAAAATAAGTGAGAATATATCAATGCAAAGTGAGGAAACTACTAAGGAACAAATTTTCAAAACAGACTCAAACCAAGTTTTAATTTTCAAAATCGACCCATTTTTTTTTATTACCAAAATCGACACACTTTATGCCACGTCAGCTTAATCTCATTTCCTAATTAGTCGGGTTGCCAACCCCGACTATTTAGGGCATTAAAAATCGGGTTTAAGGTTTCTAATTGAGGTTTAACAATCTCCTAAACAGTCGGGGTTGCCACCCCCGACTGTTTAAGAACGGGGTTAAGCTGAAGTGACAAAAAGTGGGTCGATTTTGATAAAAAAAAAGTGAGTTGGTTTTGAAAATAAAAAAATTGTTTGAGTCGGTTTTGAAAATTTCTTCTTTTGATATTTAGTAAGTTAAAATAAGTAGGTTGCCGAGCATGCGCTTAATACAACTCACAATTTCTCGAACCTCATTTTCTGTTCCGGAGCGCATCTTTTCAGTTCTCATATCACTCATGCCATGCCTCGTCAAAGGACCTAGCAAAAACGCATCGCCTCCCCAATCCCGCCACGCCCAAAACAATCGTGAGCAGAAGAAGCGAAGCGGGGGGAACTCGATCGCTCGCAGATACGAGACCGCCGTCGCCGCGCCGTCACCGCCGCCGCCGTCGCCCCCACCCCCCATATTATTATTCTCGCCCCGTATTAAATTCCTAGAGCTCAGATAGATTGATATAGAGAAGAGAGCCAGCTCCTCCTATCTCCGCCGCCGCTGCTGCTACCACTACTTTACTCTCTAGGGTTTTCTACTGCCTCCCTCGCTCCCTCCCTATTTCAGTCTCTCTCTCTCTTTTTTTCACGAATCCCAGGATCGACCAAACCCTAGGGGACGGCAGAGGGAGGAGGAGGGCCCCCCTCCTCGATTCCAGCCCCCCTCCCGCATCCGATCGCCCAATCTGAAGACGCTGGACCCCAGCAAACGACCCTGAGCCCGACCCGACCCAGCTCGATGATCCCGCCCCCGTGGCCCCTACGACCACGACGAAGCCGGAGGAGGAGGAGGAGACGACGGAGCCCTCGCCTGACTCCGCCAGTAGCGCCCCCGTCGCTAAGAGGAAGCGTGGCCGCCCGCCCAAATCTCAGGCGGCGAAGAAAACGCCGCCGGCCAGGAAGGAGGAAGAGGAGGAGGTCTGCTTCATCTGCTTCGACGGGGGGAACCTCGTCTGCTGCGACCGCAGGTAACAGAGCCGTTGCTTATTCCTTTCCAGTTTTCGGTTGGGGGGACTCCTCATCTTTATTTCTTGCAGGGGATGCCCCAAGGTGTATCATGCTGCGTGTATCAACCGCGATGAGGCCTTCTTTCAGACCCGAGGGAAGTGGACTTGTGGTAAGATTCTTTTCTCATTCATTCTTTCTCTCTGTGGTGGTGCTGGTCGTGTACTGTCATTGCTATGCTTGGTTTTTCTGTTTGGAATTTTTCACTTCTGGGCTGCGGCGGCTTTCGTGAAGGCCGGCGTAGTGTGTTGTTTCGTAGGCTTCTTCGTGATTTTGGAATACTTGTGAGACTGAAGAATGTATCACCATACAAATGTTTTTAATTCTAAAAGGTTAAAAATCCAGAACTACTAACTAGTAGTGGGAAAACAAAATTTGTGAAGCGTAACTTTAGCAAACACACGAGGGAAACTGGTAAACATTCACGTCTGATGCAAAGTATACATAAATGTTATGGTCGTACTTGACTTATTCTACTGTGTAATAGAAGAAGTGGGGTGTACGACAAGATTTGGTGTGACTCAGCTGTTCTCCTTCGCTTTGCAAGAAACAAATGGTAATCATTCGGGCACTAAGAGGTTGTTCAGGCACTACCGAAGGTGTCCTCCTCCTCCTCTCTCTCTGTATCTCAATCCCCTCCCCTCCCCTCTTTTGTTCTTTTTTGTTTTATTGGGTGTCAAGAGGTAAAAGATGACTGTAGAATGGGAATTTCGACCTAACGTTTTTTTAGGAATCCAACATAAATATAATTGAGGGCCAAGATAATGGATTCGAGGTAATCTCAGCAACTATAAAGATTTGGGGTGTAATTGTAGATATCTGTGTAGAAATATTGTTTATAGAGGAGTATAGAGGTAAAATGTTTTTTATCCATTAGACCTTGAGCATAAAAATTTTGTACCAATTCGGAATATGTACTCCATGATGTAATATATATATAATAACTTATATATATATATATATATATATATATATACTATATATATATATCATATATTAGAAAATGCTGAATTACGGTAATGAGATTACGATGATGAGCAGCGTATATATTATACAAATATATATATATATATATATATAGTATACTATATAACTATATACCTATATAGTAGTATATAGTATATATATTAATATACATATTAGTGATAGATAGAATGCTGATCTGTTTATTTTGTTATGGGATGTTACTTGATGATGAGCACTTTTTTATGGGGCCGGTAGAATGACGAAGCCTCTAGATGCGTAAACTATGGCTAGTCACTATCATAAGAATAAAATTAAATAAAATACTTATAATTATACAAAATACATATGTGTTGCTGTAGTTGTTTTCTTCTGTTGGTTATGTGCATCATGCATGTGTAGTTCAACTGGTATCTATATGCCCAGAAGTTCCTGATTATGAGAAGGATATTTTTCATAGTACTGCAGCATGTTTTTTGGCCCTAAAGGCAGTGGTATGTGATGCCTATGTGTGCTGCTTATAATTTTATAGAGAAACAAACTACAAATCTTAAAGGTAAGGAAGTAAAAGGGAACTGAAAATGCATTGTCATTGCAACTAGCATTCATTAATAAGAATAAATAATAAAATGTTAGAAGTTTAAGTCTTTAAACACTAAGTGTACACTTTATTGACTTAGTCAAATAAATAGATGCAAACGGGTTGATCTTGCCCATATCAAGTTGAGATGGACATGGGCTCAATTAATTAAGAAATTAGTAATTAAGCAAAATCTGGATAAAGTTAATATCTACATATTCTATTGAACTCTTCTTTTGCCTTCTGAATTTGGTTATTTATCATAGGTTTTTGTTCGATCGTTATGCTATTTTTCTCTACTGAGAAATTGTTAGTGACAAATATAAATCCAGCTGTTCAAATTATCAATACTTCAAAGCAATCCAATGACTTAAAGGAAGTATGAATTTCACAAGAAAACAAGGTTAACTGGAATATAAAGGATAACGTATCAGAATGTTGCTACATCATACTTGTTTTATTTTTGTATGTTCTGAAATTGATGTTAACAAATGCATTTAGAATAATCTAGATACTTAGAAAATTACCAACCTCATTTTAGCACCTTATGTTTTTGATGTAGATATGCCTAGATGAGAATTGGATGCGTTTCACAATGGTGATCACTATCAAAATTTTTAGTTTCGTATAGTATAGTGATGCTCAAGTACATAAAGTATCTAATGAGCTAATAAATGCATGGACATGTTGTCTTGCATAAGAAGTTAAATTTGAACTCAGTTACTAGTGGTGTTCTGAAAGCGAAAAAGCCAAATATGTTGCCTGAGGCAAGGGATGCCAGAAAGGCGATTGTCTAAGTGAACCAATGTGATATATACTGCAAATAAGTGCAATAGCAATAAGTCATAACAGGACAAATTAATTGCAACCAAATTTCGAGGTCACAAATTAATCTAACAAGTCATAAACTATTTAAATAAAGTAGTAAGTAACAATAACATGAACTAGTAGCTACTAATATGATAATTAAGCAAAGTTTTAAGGTTCAAATTGTGGCATGTACTCAAAATGATATAGATCATAAAGTACATTGCAACAAAAATAGCAAAAAAAATCAAGAAAAAAGATAAAAAAATTCAAAAACAAACTACATTTCAAAATAGAGGTATACAACTTTCGTGCCTTGCTGCATATGTTTTAGGGGAGCTTCTGGGTCATCGAGGCGAGATTGTAAGGCTCCAAGGCGAGCTCTTGAGGCGTCAAAAGGCGCTCACCTTACTGACTTAATAACCTTCATCCCCGGATATATGCAAGGCACTAAGTTACAATGTCGCCTCGCTTGAGTGTGAGGTGCTAAGGCACATTGCTTTTAAAACACTGGTTACTAGTGTATTGAAACCAACTTTACTAGTGTATTGAAACATACCGTTAAATACGGTAGCCTTTCTTAGACCTTATATCGCCTTGGTACATAGCTTGTTCCTTTTGAGGGTGTTCCAGGCCCCATCTATTTATCTCAAGCTTCGTATCATTTTGAATATTTGGAAGAATGGATTAGTCTTGTGTTCAGTTTATCTTATGTATTTTTACTTAATCCATTAAACTTTAACATCATGAAAGGGGCCTTGAGACCCTAGGCTAGGGCCTTGAAACCTTAGGCTAATCCATTAACATTGCCATCTTAGCAAATAATAAGGCTAATATGGAGCCCACAAGTTTAGGATTGGGGCTTAATATGCCAAAGTCGATGCCTTCTGGCTAAGCTAAAGTATAAGGCCTTAGAGATCTTGGGTTTGGAATTACTTTGGTTGCTTACTTTTCATGGAATTTATTATCCTAACTATATTAATTTCAAGTGAAAAAATTGGAGAAGCTAACTTTGAGAAAATAGATGTTGGAATTGTTTGTGTATATATGGAAGAAAGTGAATATGGTTATGGTTTTTTCGATACACATGAGCAAGCGGAGAGCCACCAGAGCAGATTCTTTAGTGTAAAGACTGGCTGCCAATATCCTTTGATAATGATTCCTAGAGCAACTAGAGTTTGTGAAAACTCAGCTTTGGTACATTACCTGGATTGCTTCTTTAATCCCTGATGAAGAGAAGCTATTTTGTCTTCTCTAGTCTATATTTGTTGTATTAAATTGCGTAAATTTCACAAAACACTTAAGTTTGGGCATTTATTGTGTTGTGAGAAACGATCTAATTGAACTAATTTTTACCCAGGAGAGAGTACATGTGATATATAATCCTATTGGATGTGGGACTAGCCCAAATATCCAATTGATCCAGGACTCTTAATCTAACACTCCCCCTCAAGAAAAAAACTTTAAAGACACATGCTTAGTGAAGGTATCTGCCAACTGTTCTGCTGAGGGTGTATAAGGGGTGCATATCAAATGATTCAAACCCTTCATGACAACATGCCTCATAAAATGACAATCCACCTCCACACGTTTAGTCCTCTGATGAAAAACGAATTATTGGCAATATAAATAACTGCATGCTTATCACACCTTATGGTCATTGGACCATTTTGCAAGGATCTCGGTTCTCCCATCAAGTTCTTCAATCACATCATCTCACAATCAACATGAGCCATTACTTTATGCTCAGCCTCAGCGCTAGAACGAGAAACTGCATTGTGCTTCTTACTTCTCCAAGTCACAAGATTTCCTCTAACAAAAGTACAATAACCCGTTGTAGACTTAATGCCATCTCTGTCTCCTACATAGCCTGATCAGAATAAGTTACAATGCGTCAATGTCCGTGCTTCCTGTACACCAAAACTTTCTCTGGAGAGTTCTTTATGTAGGTGAGGATTCTCAGTGCAGCACTCCAGTAAACTTCTTTGGGTTTGTGCATAAACTGACTTACAAGTCCAACTGCAAAGGCTATGTCACGTCTGGTAACTGTGAGATAGATCACCTTGCAAACTAACCTCTTGTAGGATGTAGTAACCTCAAATAACTTAGAATTCTTAGACTAAAGATCTACATCAACATTCATGAGAGTACTAGCATGTTTACAATCAAGTAACCCAATTTCTTCTAGGAGGTCTAGCGTATACTTTCTTTGAGAAAGAAGTAACCCACCATTTTTATAAGCAACTTCAATTCCAAGAAAGGATCTACATCAACATTCATGGGAGTACTAGCATGTTTACAATCAAGTAACCCAATTTTTTCTAGGAGGTCTAGCGTATACTTTCTTTGATAAAGAAGCAACCCACTATTTTTATAAGCAACTTCAATTCCAAGAAAGTATTGAGGTCTCCCCATATTTTTGGTTATGAACTGAAGCTTGAGACTCTTAATGTCCTCTAAGCTAGATGTATCACTTTCAGTCAATTAAATGTCATCCACATAAACAACTATAATAAGAAGCCCAGAAGAGGTATGGCAGATGAATATAGAATGACCAGGCTAACATCTCTGAAAGCCAATATCACCAATTGCTCTGCTAAACTTATCGAACCAAGCCCTTGGACTTTGCTTAGGTCTATATACAACATTCTTCAACTTGCATACAATAGCCCCCGTGAGCAACAAATCCAAGAGGTAGCTTCATATAAGTTACTTCTTGTAGATCACCACATAAAAATGCATTCTTTACATCAAGTTGAAAT